TATTATTATTATTATTATTATTATTATTATTATTCATTTGATAACTTTAAGCAAATAATTACTGGTCTGCTTTATGCCACTTCAAATATCCTATTGCAGTATTTAATTGCGTTTTCCTTACCATGTCTCACTGCTAATCCAAACCAGCCTGATTATTTTTTGGCAAATGTTTGCCTTCGTTCCTCATTTGATGACATAGTAAAAAAAAAAACTGCAGGTTTAGAGCAGCACTGTGATGGTTTTAAGCTCTCATATTCCGGTGCATTAATTTGTTTGATCCCACCAGAGCTTACTCATTCTATTATTCCATTGAAAATTGCAGCTCTGATCATTTATTTATTCATTTTTGACATTCATATTGCATCAGGGTTTCAAATTACTGCCATATGTATTCTTTCACTACAACAAGACTTACTTTGTCAACAGCATCCAACAGACATTCTAAATATGTTAAATATAAAAGGAAAGAGCCAAATTACGTGTTATTGATTTCTTTCTTTAAGCGTAATATTTCTTGAATATTTTCTTCCAGGGAGAGTTTTTTTCCCCCCACAAGGTCTGAGAAACACATTCTATCAGAAGCTTTTATATAGTATTATCAGTATGGTTATGAAAGCGTTGTTCAGCTTGTTTTTCATTACCAACTGGCGAATGTCATGGTTAACAACATTAAGGGAATTATATATCCATCAATATTTTTGTACTTTTCATTATTTCAGTACATATGATTTCTTTACAGCAGGGCAGATTCTGGACTGTATCTGTCTGCAGCGGAGGGAATGTTTTTCAGCATTTAAAAACCACTAAACAACCTCTTTCACACACAGTTTGCAAGTCTTTGTTTCAAAAGTAAAGTTTTCGTCAACCTGCAACAATTATTCCTCATAATATGCACATGAGACAGAAGTGGATCACAGCTGAATTGCTCTTTCGTAAAATCAGCTAAGTGGTGACAACATTGTTGTTTAGAGCAGCCCACTGGAAGCCTCGTGTGTGTAAAAACACAAAGGGTGGATGATTTAGCCTCTATAACCACCTCCTTTGCTGTCTCAGGCACATCAGGGCTTTCGACCCCATTTTCTTTCTGCCTCTTAACTCTCACACATGATGCAATAATGTCCAACAAAAGTGCATTTGTGAAAATAACAGAGATGATTTGTTGTGTTTTCACACTCTCAGATGATGTGTATTCTCAGTTGGAAGCTGATTTGTTGGAGAGGGTTATATTTTACTGGCAATTTGCTATTTCGGCTTTCAGTCATAATTAGTTAAGAAAAGCAATTATTATTTTTTAGGCTAGAATAATTATGTAAACAACTTGTAAATATGTAAATAACTGTAAATAACTATCTGTATTTCTGAATGTGTCCTATAAAGTCTTCAAAAGCCTATAGTCATATCAACTTAACTTTGTACATCAATACATTGCTGAGTAAAGTAAACCCACGTTATGCAAAGACAAAGAAATACAATTCCGGTCGATTTTGGCATAGTGCACACGAAAACTGAAAGTGTAGCATAGCTGAGGGACTTACACTGCCGTGGCAGTAGTTTTTGGGTCATAAAGGCAAGAGAGAGGTGTCATATAGTGATGGATCACTTTCTTCTCTTTTCCCTCTGTTAAACAGCAAGTCTTTCTGAAATTCCCTAAAGCATGACCAAGTCCAAAACAGTCAAAAGTCCATATGTTCTTTTTCATATTTCTTTCTTAGATTGAGCTATTTACCTATGCATAATAAAGACGATAAAATAAAAAAAAATACGACATGCTCTAAATCACAACATATGTGTCTTATGCTTATGATGTGTCAAATGGAAGCCATAATAATACATATGTAGTGTGTTGACTAAGGTGTTATGATCATATTTAGTAAAACCAGATTATTAAAGTCATTTTACTCAAACTCTGTATTTCTACTAATATTGGAAGTTGCAGTTCTCACAATTATCATCATTATAAAGCTTTGATCTCCATTTTCCTTTTGCAAAAAAAGGGCATTTTTCTCCCTCCTGGGAAGAATTCAACCTGAGCACTTCATAGTTAAGATGACCTGAGGAAGGTTTTTTTTTAATTTTTTATTTAGAGAGGAGACCATATATAAAGAAAGGTTGAAAATAGCTTTTTAGTTGCATGTTGTTTCTGATTGTATCTCACGCATAGAGAAAAATAAACGATGGTTGAATTATTATTTTTTCTTTCCCTACCCACCGGCAGATAAAGAAAACATTTAGGGTTACTCTGCCTCCCCCAGTGAAATTGCAAACAAAGCGATAGACCACGTCACATTTGAGTATTTGACAGTTCTATTAATGATTAACAAAGATTATATTCACTATCTTGGAAAAGGAAAGACTCTGTTTCTCTCTTACAATGCATGTTATTACTGTATTATTATTATTAATTGTTCCAATATATTTCCTCAGTGTTCTGTCCCTCATCTCACTATCCTGTTGTCATTTCTCCCTCTAGCTGAGTGTGGAGGCGCCATCATGGAGGAGCCTTCAGGTCGTATCCTGTCTCCGGGCTACCCAGCTCCATACGAGCATAACCTGCACTGTATGTGGACCATTGAGGCAGCCCCAGGAAGCACCGTTAGGTCTGAGCAAAATGCTTGGTTTCCTTTTCATTGCTACTCTCTTGGTTGTGTCGTTTTTACTGACTCTCTTACAGAATACTTTTAGTTATTTTCCCATCTTCTTTTGTGCTGTTTTTTTTATCACATTCACAGGCTGATACGTTATCAGTCTTTACTGAGCTGTTCTTTGTGAATAGCTGCATTACTGCAGCACAAAAGGAAATATGACCTCATATCATTTCATGATATTAAAGCAGGCCAATCATTGCTGTTCTTACGTTTTTGTAGAGATTTTTTTAGATTAGTTTAAGAAGTGATGCTGTCCTGGGTTTCCATTTTCTTTGCTTTGTTACACAGTATGTTTTAGAAATAAGGATAGAATAAGGATATAAGGATAAATTACAGTGAAGTGGGGATTTGCAGCTTTTGGCTTTGGGTGTTGCATGCAGCGTTATAGGCTGGCACTCCCATAGTTGTGAGATAATAAAAATACCTATTTTGTTTTTTTGTTCATTCATTATTTGATTCAATTGCACATGTAGAGTTTTAGATTATCTTTTGTGTATTCAATTTTAAGTTTTAATATTTTGTTCGCAAACATATGCAGAACATCACATTCTATCTTAATAGCCCTACCTTTATTGCTGGCAGGTGGCTAATCTTATTTTTCACCCCTGATGCTTGGTAAGCTAAAAATAGTTAAATCTAGAAATCTCTAGTAGTTTAACTCTTCCTAGATGGAGTTGATTTTTTTTGTTGCCTGCGATGCAGGTACCGGTGAGATATGAACAAAGAGCTAAAAATGTAATGTTAAAAGATCTTCCCATTAAGGAACATAGTTTTTGCCAAAAACTGTAAATATGGAGATATGATGAGCGAAAATAAACTCAACTACTGCTGATAGTCCTGTGGCTGAAATGTAGAGACAATAAAGTGCCTAAAACGGAGACAGATAATGCATGTAATAGTTTAATAAGTACCAGAGCATCTGTTCTTGGACTTAAAAAACAGTATTGTTAAGACATTTAAAGAAATGCTCCTCTCTGCTCATATTCTTGGTACCTAGTTGAACCCCTTTACGGTTGAAATCGGGGCTGCCCCTTGTCACCAATCTTTTTGTGTTACCTACACATGATTAACAAACGTAGAAATGGAACCACATTGTGTGGAAGATGTTTGGGCATTTTATCCCAAAATTACTCCATCTGTTAGAGATGAAGTGAGGTCCATCATTTTACCTGCAATTTCATAAGAAGATCCAAAGGACATGGTATTAATTTAAACTATTTAAAGTATACAGTCACGATAATGAAAAATTAGATTTGTGGTTACATGCAACAAGGTCAGAGAGTTGAAAAAAAAATCCTCCTTTTCTGTTATGTCCTTGGACATCGACCCATCTCTGCTGGACACAACTGCGTTCACAGGAGTAGGTCAAGCCAATCTTTATATCGAAGTGGCAGACATAGCTGTCAAAGATATATTAGTGTCTGCGAGCCACCTCTGCTAAAAACCACAGAAGGGGTAACATTGAAAAAAGCCAAACAGACTTGTTTTGAAACATGAAATGGGTGAAAGTAATATAGCAAAGTAGCTGTTAGGCTGCATTTTATTTTATACTTTGAGTAAGACTCAAAAAAGGCTTCATTATGCATTCTATTGTATTTTTTGTCCTCGTCAAGAGCATACATTGATTATTTGATTAAGACCTTATTCATCACCTTCATTTCCTCAACACTTGCACACTTAGGAGCATTCCATTTCAACAAGTATCTTGTTGAAATGGTTTGGAGGTCAAATAATCCAAATGTAACATGGTGGTCTGACAGGAGTGGCAAAAGAACTCAAATGGAGCCCACCACCAAGAGTGAAAAAGTGATACATGTATATTTTCTGTGAATATACATAAGTTAAGTTCCATGTGTTTACTCTTGAATGGTCACTTTAAAAAGCAGGCAAATGGGCAAAAGGGCACCAAGAAGCAACGTGTGTTGCATCTATTGAGACAACAGTCTCTGTTTATGCATTTTGATGAACTAGCAGTACAACTAAGGTAATAGTGTTGTTTGCCCAGATACTTGAAGGAACACTGCCTCGGGCTGTGTATTCTTCATGGAGCTAAAACCATGAATACACACGGGCGGGAAGAAACATGGTGAAACAGCCGTTTTAAGTGGGAGAGTTGTAGTCTTTTGAATTGGATTAGTTTTTGTTTGAAGATCACATGTTTCAATCTATAACATTATTTCAATATACAATGACGTTGGTTTCTTAATCTTTTGATGCGGTTTTCTGAAAATCAGTGCATCTTAAATGAGGCGGTTATGTCTGTATCCACACACATTCCATAGACTTTCTTGTCACAATTGAGTCAACTGGAGTGGAAGTCATTTAGTCATTCAAATACTTTTTTAATCTGGATGCATGATAATCAATGCTCTTGTGGTTAGCATTCTGTCACACATGCTCACTGTAACTCTCTGACCCGCAGGTGACTTTGGCTTTAATTTCATCAGCGTTTTATTTCCTTCTTACTGGAGTAGATTCAAAACGAGGAAAACATGTTCTGAGTGTGCAATATGTAGATTGCTGTTCTGTGTGGCTTTTTATTTTGCTTCCTATCACCCAGCTCTGTGTTGTCTGTGTGGGTTCATTTGCATGCTTGTGTTTTCTTTTTGCCTGCAATATCTGACTTCCTCCCTCGTGATTAGTAGTTTAGGTTCATTAGTGCCTTCACTACCTTTGGGTCCATGGATTTCCTCCGTAAGGTATTCTCCATATTCTTGCTTTTGATCCTGTGCATGCACTTCAAATTCGAGGGGAATTTGCAATGCATTAGCCCAGGGATTCCGAGTATATCAAATGATGCAGCCAAAGTTGATACAAATATCAAAGTGTACCAAATAGATGTGACACCAGAAGTTTGTGACAGCAGGCACACAAAAAAGCCTGCATAGAGCTTTTTCAAGAGTTATTGACAGAATGAGAATACAGACAGAAGACAAAGATGAAACTGAGAAGAAAGAGGATTCAAGATCAAGCGAACAGGGACGATGAGGGAATCCATAAGCCATCTCGCTGATGTAACTTTCAGTGGTCACTGCTGCCCAAAACAGCTTAACAATGAAATAAAGCAGATTTTAAAGGTGATATTTAGTTTTTGATTATACATGTGTAGTCCAAAGAGATATTTCCGAAAACAGTTTACAGTTAAGACCAGTTCAATCAGAATGAGCCACAGCCTCACCATATCAGAACCACTCAAATTAGCTCCAGACCTACATTTTTGCTTTTAAAACAATAGTCAGATCAGAGTTATCGATATTTTATGTGATTTTAGACTGTAAAGGTAACTTTGGTTGAAGTAATCTGTCTCAAAACAACAGACTGACAAACCCAAAGAACTGAATCACATTTCTTACCATCTTATTCCACTCTTCACTTGTTATGGACCAACACTGGGATCTGTGATTACATTTTTTGATGGCATACGTCGTTATTTTGCATTTATGCCACTTTTCCGATAAAATTAGATTATTTGTGGTTAAGATGCCCTTAGGCTCAGATTTTGGCGAATGCTCCTTTGTGTCGAATGCTGTAGTTGTGGGTGCATGATTTTGTATGCGCATTTCGTTTTTAAGAATTCACATCTTTTTAGGCAAAAGACTGGGTTTACCTAAATCACTCTTTTTATGGGTTAATACAAATGCTTAAGTTGTATCTTAATGCCTCTGATTTCATGCTGTTACACTAAATGCATGTAAATGAACTGGTCAAAGATTGCCTTAAGCATAATTCTGTTAGGTGTTGAGGAAGTTAAGAAGCTCGGTGTATGGATGCATCTGAATCCTGATGAATGATCCCACAGGGCTAAATATACTAAGAGGTTAGCTCTTAGAGTTTTAGTAACTGTCACTATTGCTTTCATTCCATCTCAATTAGTTGTAAAAGGAATATGAACTGTTTGTGTTTGAGAGCAAATGTATTATGTCCCTGAGGTCAGTATCAACTCTGGCATTATGCTTTTGTGCTTCTGTACATTAGGATGTGACATTCAGATTTTCATGATAAAGTCAAAGAACGAGGTCTTTTGCCATTTCTTATTTCTTCACTATATACAAAACCTAATCAGTAATTGTATAGTTAACATAAAAAAGAAACGAGCCAATACTGCACTCCTGGTATTTTCTTCAATGTTTTATATCCTGCAACAAAAGTAGCTTCCAAAGTGGCGTTTTGGAAAACAAAAAAGCACCTGTTCCTGTTGCATAAATATCACTAATTTCTCCAATATCTTTGACCAGTAAAATAATGTAACAAGATTCTAAGGGTTGAAGGCTTCACATCTCAAAAGAGGCAGATCCTCAGGATAAGATGTGCAGGGCGGTGTTGAGCAGGACACATGAGGCCCTTACTAAGTTGGAATATAGGTGAAGATTAATGAATGGTTGTTTTGAGCAAAGCATGCCACATCCTTCTTATGAAGATCTTCAAAGAATTGGCATGTCCCATAAAA